ACATTGATCGATTGCTCTCTCAGTTTAGAAGCTCAAGGAATCAAACTTCAGAACCAAGGGCCTCAAGATTTAAGGGTAATTATAGATGTAGGGAAATGCATGTTGTAGGAATTTTGTCCATAGCCAACCATACCAAGCCATTAGGCTGATATTGGATAGATCGAGGAGGTGTAGGAAGGAGGAGGTGTAGGAAGGTGGCAGGGAGAAATTGGAGTTCTAGGGTGAGCTAGCTAATCAGTTATAATTGAACCAAGCTTATTAGGCTCAGGTTCAAGCCAATTTTGGCCAACATAAATCAATCCAATGGCTCACATGGCCAGGAATAAGTTTAGGAAGTTCAAGGCAAGCTTTATTTAGTCAAGGTGAGCTTAATTTGTAATTTGACAGATTTTGGATAACTTGGGTAAGCCTAATTGGTTTGACTCAAGTTAGCCCAATACTAGGGCTAGCAAGGGGGGTTAATTAGGATGTTATATGGAAAAAAAATTATTTAATATCCATTCATGTTATATGTTAATTGTGTATTTAAGAGAAATAAAGTTGAATTTTTAAAATCTGGAAGGGAGAAATTATATTTAAAAATTTATTATGATCATGATGGGATCCTCAAAACCTTTCAAATGAACCCATATACATCCAAATCGAGCTTTGTTTGATATATGTCTAATATTTTAGTGAATTATTCTTTTAATATTATATAATTAGAATTAGAAATCTGGAACATTCACGCAGTAGAGAGATAAAGAGCATAATGTCTTAGCTTTGAACAAAAATAGAGCGCACACATATTAGAGAGAGGGTTGTGAAAGTAATAAGAGACACCAATATTTTTAAGTGAAAAATCTTGAAAAGGGAAAAGCCACAGGGCTTGGCCTAGTTAAAAATAATTTCACTAATGTTTGTAGTTGATTACAAATGATATCCTTCCTCGTGGGGAGGGACTGATCTCAATGTAGCAAGTATACATCACATAAAGTGTATTACATTGTTAGAGTTGGAAAAAATCTAATGATATGAAAATTATTTTTAAGTAAATGTTGGCATGTCCGTTTGGTTAGTTGAACTATAGTCGGCAGGTGACGTAGGTCGAAAGAACTGTAGTCGGGCGATAGTGGTCGGGAAGGATCATAGTCGGGCGATAATGGTCAAAAGGATCATAGTCGAGCAACGGTGGTTGGAAGAATAGTAGTCGATGACCGACGATGATCGGAAAGACCATAATTGGTGATGGTGGTTGAGAAGACCATAGTTAAATGATGGTGATTATAAGGAGCGTAGTCGGGCGAAAGTGGTCCGAATGATAGTAGTCAACATGCAACGGTGGTCGAAAAGATCAGAGTTGGGTGACTGAGGTCGAAAAGATTGTAGTTTGGTGACAGTGGTCAAAGGACCATAACCAGACGACGATGGTCAGAAGAATTGTAGTCAACGAGCGATAATGGTAGGAATGATCGTAGTTGGGTGATGGTGATTAAAAGGACCATAGTCGCCAGGCGATGAGGCCAAAAAGACCATAGTTGGGCGATGGTGCTTAGAAGGATTGTAGTCAGCGGACGATGGAGGTTAAAAGGACCGTAGTTGGGAAATAGTGTTTGGAAAAACTATAGTCGAGTAATGGTGGTCTGAAGGACCATAGTCGGTGGATGACGATGGTCAAAATGATTGTAATTAGGTGAAGACAATCAAAAGGACCATAGAAGACGGGTGGTAGAGGTTGAAAAGACCGTAGTTTGGTGATAGTGATCAGAAGGATCGTAGTTGGGCGAATGTGGTCGGAAAGACCGTAATCGAGTGATGATGGTTGAAAGAACCATAGTTGGTGGGCAACAGAGATTAAAAGGACCATAGTTGGCAATGGTGGTTGGAAAGATAGTAGTCAGACGACAGTGTTTAGAAGGATCGTAGTTGGTGAATAACAATGATCAGAAAGACCGTAGTTGATGGGTGACAGAGATCGAAATATTGTATTTAGGTAAAGGTGGTCAGAAGGATCATAGTCAGTGGGCAAAAGATGTTAAAAAAATCTTTGTTAGGCGATGGTGGTTGAAAGGCCATAATCAGGCAATAGTGGTCGGAATGACCATTGTCAATGGGTGAAGGTTATCAGAAGGACTGTAGTTGGGTGAATGTAATTTGAAAGGATCGTAGTCAGACGATGGTGGTTAGAGGGATCGTAGTCAGGCGACGATTGTTGGAAGGACCATAGTCTGGGGAAGGTGGACTGAAGACTTGTAGTTAGACAATGGAGTTGGTAAAGACTATAGTCAGGTAACAGTGGTCGAAAGGATCGAAGTAGTGTGATGGTGGTTGGAAGGACCTTAATCGGTAGGCGATGGACGTTGAAAGGACCGTAGTTGAGCAACAATGGTTAAAAAGATCATAGTCGGGCGAAAATGGTCAGAAAGACCATAGTTGTAAGGTGTCCGTGGTTAGAACGACTGTGGTCTAGTAATGATGATCAGAATGACCATAGTTGACGAACAACCTCAGGTGCGCACAGGCGGGAGAGGGCAACTTCGGGCGGGCGCGCGAGCTGGCGTGCACATGCACGGGTAGGCGCACGAGCAGGCGCATACAGTTTTGAAATCGGCTTGGTTCTAATCCAAAATTTTTAGGTCGGGCTCGAGCTTTCGTGTCGTGTCAAATATTGACACCCCTGCATATAATTCAAGTTCTGAGTTAGGTCATTGTTTTTGTTTACATCTCTTACTATATCGCCTATAGAGCTAGATTGTAATTTTCTTTTTTATGCTGTATTTACCTATCATAGTTAATGAAATTGGGCTTAGGCCCTTTAATTAAAAAAAAAAAAAACAAAACTTTAAAAGGATATTATAAATCTTATAATTTGGGATTTAATAAATTCTGAATGTGTAACATTTTGAAAATAATTTGGTAAAATAAGTGTTAAATTTTATTAAATCCTCTTAAACTATTTGTCAAAGTAATTCAAGATTTTAGACGATTAGTTCATTAAATATTCAAATATAATTTATATTTAATATTTAATTTACATTTTAAATATTAGTTACTTATTAATTAAAAATTAATGAATTATTAAACAATTTAATAAATTATTTAAGTATAATTGAAATAATTTTTAAATATCTAATTAATTATTTATGTATTTTATCAGTACTTAATTAAATAATACTTAATTAGTTATTCCTTTAATTATTATTTAATATTTAATTACTTACTATATAATTACTTTTGCAATTATTTACATTCTTAAGTCAGCGTTTGATTTACATTCTTAAAAAAAATTCTTTAAAATGCATATAGCCAAATACTTAAATAAAAAATTATTGTCTTTTACACCACAAAGGAGCTAAAAAGTTGGGTCAAATCGGTCCTTAAATTATTTTAAAACTGCTTATGATAATCTCATTTAATTGTCTAGAAATGAAATATAAAATTATATTTGAAGTTTTGGAATATAAGGGTCTTACTCAGGATTTTATTTAAGTAAGATTTCATAAATCCTTTTCAAAGATCTGGAATTTGATGAAATCTTAGGTGGTAAACATTCATGATCAAATTTTGTTAAAGTCTTTGTGACTGGTTTTTGACTGTTCACCATTTAGGATTTAAGGTGTTAAAAGAGTTGGACAGTATATTGTTAGGTATATTAAAGTACGACACAAAAATATAAAAAACATATATTTTTTTATTAATACTAATTATATTCTAATACTAATTAATTATTTTAATTATTATGTAATAGATATTTTATAATAATATTTTTATTTAGAAGTCATATTTCAATCTCTACTAGTTATTTTTTGAAAAGTAATTAAATATTTACTAATACTTTATTATAATTTTAAATGTTATTAGTTTTAACTTAAATATCAATATTTTAAATTTATTAAATAAATATCCAAACATTAGAGAGTCTAGGTTTTATTTTTCGCTTCTCTGTTTCGTTCGGCCTTCGTTCTTTCGCAGAGTGTAGAGTTGCAGCGAGTTCTTTTGCTGCTCGCTTTGCTCGATTCGACGACGTTTCCCTTGCTGTTTGGATCGGAAGTTACGAGTCATTTTTTTGATTGGAATCAACAACGGGAGCTCTCTTCTGTGAAGGAACTTTCTCCTTTCACGGGCTTCTCGACCACATCCGTAAATCCGCCGAAGCAAAGGATTTCGTAAATTCCGGTTACCACGAAAGGAGGGAATTTTCCGTCAACCGCGGCTTTGATTTACCGTGAGATTTGGTTTTGCATTTTTGGCCGTTTGGCTGGATTTAGCTCAAATCCGGCCTAAATCCTGCATCCAAACAGCCCCTGAAATTTTCATTATTTGCCTCATTCGCAATTGATTAAACATCTTAGTTATACATTTATTTGAAGAAATATGCCCCAAGTAAGTAAGTTATGAGCGAGATAAAGTATATATTTGTTGTATCTAATCAATTTTGATAATCATGTCGTCTAATCTTATATCCAGATTATGAGTAAAACGATCAAGTTTATGATTAAAATATTTCGTGCCCTAAGTAAATAAGTATTACAGTATTACTTATTTGAATATATGGGGATCTCATTTCAGTAAGATATTTTATGATTCTTTTTTCTAAACAATGAGCTATTAAATTATTAAATCAAAGATATTTTGTGATTATTTTAAAATATCTTTTAAAAATATAAATGCTTGTTAATTACATATTCAAATGGTTGACAAAATAATAGCTCCAAATTTCCAACTTGTTCTAATCATCCCGAAGTATAAGTTTTAATAATAATCAACTCGTACAATCAAACTATTAAGATGACTGATAAGTTGTGCAGTCATTGATTTTGAATAAATAGTTTTGGGTGCTGAAGAATTTTACAAGCAACTTTTAGAATTTACAAATCACTGGGTGTTTAGCGGCATTGGCCCTTACTCCAAAATATATATCTAATTCCAATGAATAAAAGGCTAGTAGAGATTACAAAAAGGCTATCCATTATATTTAAAAAAAGTTCTGAGAGAATGATATTTTCTTATAGTATCATGGGATATATGATGGATGGTGGACGATCTGAACTCTAGGATTTATTGTAGATGGCTTTACACATAACTGTAAGCATCTTTTTCCCATTTAAATTTAATTTCCAATTGTAAAAATTTGAGTGTTGTTTTATGAAACTTTATAGATAAGTTTGTTATGGCCACAAATCACATCCCTTAAATTTAGGCATTAGCAAATATTTGAAATCTTATAAATGAAAAATCAATATTGAACACTTGGATCTTTGAGGAAAAGGATCTTTGAAGGAAAACCATCATGTAAAGAGCGATTTCTTATTGTGACATGAGGCATTAAGCTTGTTTTTGAAAGAAAAAAAAGCTGAGGAACATTTCAGTTTTATGCCTATATATTTCATTTGTATTTTTTATTTTTTCTTCAAATTTATTGTAAATGTCTTTATTATTTTTGAATTAGAAATAAACTAATCAATCTCATCAACAACAACAACAACGTCAAGCATTTATCCCACTACGTGGGATTGGCTACATGAATCATTTTTCTCCATTGTGTCATGCTAAGAGCCAAATTCTTATTTAAATTTAATAAAGAAATGTCATTTCTAATATTTTCTAACCAAGTCATTTTAGGTCTGCCTAAACCATTCTTAACATAGGCCAAATCTAATACATCTATTCTCCTTACAGGGTCATCGGAAGGCTGTCGTTTTACATGACCAAACCATCTAAGGCGACTCTCTCTAATCTTATCTCATTGGAACTACTCCAACCTTCTCACGGATATGCTCGTTGTGTATCCTATCTCTAAGAGTAAATCCACTCATCCACCTGAGCATCCTCATCTCAACAACACTGAACTTAATATTATGCTTCTCTTTTAATGGCCAACATCAGCCCCCAAATCAGCCCTCTTCAATTAGGAAATATCTCCAAATTAATCACATCCAATTCAACCCCCAAACCAGCCCCTAAATATGCCCTCTTTAATTAGGAAATATCTCCTAATTAATCCCTTTCAAATCAGGCCAAATCAGCCTGCTTTCCTTATTAAGTTTCATCTTCTATTTGAATTCAAATAGGAAATCTTTCACTCATTAATTATCTTCTTAATTTCTTTCTTAATTATCCTTCTTACATAATAAATTATTGCTTTAATGGGCCCCATAAGAGGAGCCAAAATCTCCCTAGATTTGGTTTCAAGGTCCGTCCCCTCCATTGTTGGTTTATCCTTGGCTTGCAACTGTAACAATTCCCCTCCCCCCAAAGACGAACCTTGCCCCAAGGTGGATGGTTGGGACATTGTTCATGATTTTCTCAGCTGCTCAGTTAGTAGTCATGCTATCGTCCACTAGAACCAAGTTAAAGTTTTTCTCTCCAGACATAGCCCTGCAATCGTAAACTTTTTCTCCTCATTCAACCCATTCACCATGAAATACATCTCTACCTGATATAAATACCCATACGCATCCTCCCCTTCAATGATTGGCATCCTTAACTTCCTCACCCTAAGATTTCTACCACCCAATAGCTTCTTCCTCCTCCAGTGTAGTGGTTTTCGTGATCCCTCCATGTTTCCCCCACGCATCGAGGCGGGATTCCCACCTTTCTTCCATCCATTCTTGCATGATATGATCTCATGATTCAGCTCGACCCTCTCCAATTCCGGTCGCGTACACCCCTTGCCTGAAATGCCTCTCATGTTTCCCCCATGCATCGAGGGACACCAGACGTATGTTTGAATCTTTCTTTTTTTAATTTCGAGTATAACATTGAAATCATTATTGGTTATAAAATTAACACCTAAATTTTTAAAATGATTTAACAAATTTGCTTGATCTGGTGTTATTGATGCGGACATTGAAGTGGAGGCTGACGGTTTTGGGGTTGGGAGACCCTAAGCCAGTGGCAAGGGGGAAGGGGAGGAGGAATGAAATGATAGAATAAAAAGAAAGCCACGAACCTGGACTCTTCTAAGGTTGGTGGGTGATCCGCTTCCCTCTCCAAGGGATTTCTCTCCAAAGATTCCATGCTCTTACAAGAACTCAATATGCAGATATTTCATTATAATTCATTCATTAATGATGCGGACATCCGACGGTGGACATTACTTAATGGAAGCCTCTTCCACTTTATCCATATCAACTGCCGGCCATAAACCCCTCCACCTCCATAGCCGGCTGACCTCTTCACCCCTAGCATCTTTTCTCCTTCATTCCCCTTCGTTTTTCTAAATTAAGTTGAAGATAATTTGAAAAGAATTTTGAATTCAAATCCAATTAGTTTGAAATTCAAAACCTTTCATAAATTACTAGATCTAGTTTTGGAAAGTTCTTCAAATCAAATTCCAATGAATTTGGAATTGTATTTGATTAAATCCTTTCTCCTTTAATTGAAGACTTGATTAATTTTCTTTTCCTTTCCTCTTATAACCGGCCCCTTCTCTCTTTACCCGCTGCCCCTTCCCCTTTTGCTCTTGATTGGAATCAATCTTGCTTGATAACCTTCTTTCCTATTGTGGATGTATTTTAATATGGAAGCATTTGAATTTAAATTAAATTGTATTTAAATTTCAAATCATTTCCCTAATTTAGTTATCTTATTTTAGGAAAGTATTCAAATCAAACATATTTCAAATTCAAATATGATTTGATTTAAATATTCCTCCCTAATTTAAGATTCCCCACTTGGCAAGCATTTAAATCTCTCTCCATAAACTCCCAAGCCCCTTTTAATGCCGCCAGCCCCTCCCCCCCTTAGTTATTTAATTCCTTAATTGGATATCCAATTATGGGATTTAATTAATCACGCCCTTTTTCTTATTTAATTGTAATTTCAATTTTCAAATTTTCCCCCATCCCATTCGTTCTACATCAATTATACAAGTGAATAATTCATTGAAATTGAAAATTTATAGTTTTGTTATGTTCTTCAAGATTGTGGCAATTTATTGCAAATTTATGCACTTGAATATTATTCTGTAAATATGCAAGATTTTGTTTGTTATACAATACCATATTGGGCGCTATGTCCTTATTTAATTCTGCGCCAAATTTAACATACCCAATTTTTTACGTGTTTGTGTGCATTCATGCCTTAAAGTTATTAGCAAAGTACCCGTCTTTAATACCAAGTTTTAAGATATTTTATTATTTTTAGTTGTGCTCTTGTTGAAGAAGATTGAATTCACTTGGCACTAAGAGACAGTTTTAGCCATTAGTTACCCCTTTATTTTCCAAAACTTTCAGAGCCCGACCCATATCATTAAAACCATCTTACACTTCCGGCAAGCTTAAGGATCTGCACTAGTCATCGTTTCCAAGATGACCTCTCTCCTGGTTCAGTTGGCACTAATTCTGAAATTTAGCAATTTTTCCTTTCTCGTTCTCTTTATTTAGATTGAGGAATGAGGACATTGATGAAGGCGAAACAGCAGTTGGTTCGTTGTTCCTTTGAGGTCCTGTCCATGGTTTTATATCTTAAGAAGTTTCTAAATTTTCTGTGAGGGACATAAATTAATAATCTTCTGCTGTTCCAATTCCTTATTTTTTAATCTCAAATAATTCCGTGCCTGTCTTTCCTGTAGCTTTATCAAGGGTACTGATTGAGTTGATAAGTCAACTGCATGGAAGCTTGTATTTGAACTTTTTTCCTCCTTTATTTGTTATCGAACCTTGTTTTATGCTTAAGATGGATTCTTTTTTATTTTAATTATTTCTTTTGTAGTTTTCATTTGATGTTTGCAAAGATGATGCTTTTACTGTGTTTAGTTCAATATATTGTAAACATTTTTTATTTATTTGCTAGCGATATTTCCTTTATATCATTTTTTTCTTAGATATTATCAACCACCTGTGAGGGTAAAATTAGTTTATTTCTTAACATGTTTTATAATTGAGTTATATGCAATGCTTGTTTGGAATATTTTTGTCCTTAGCTTTTTATCTCTTACAATTACTCTATGGATAAAGCGGCAGCAATAATCTTTTATTTCTTTTTTGTGCAATTTTTTTTTGGTTTAGATTAGATTAGAGAGAGTCGCCTTAGATGGTTTGGTCACATAAAACATCGGCCTTCTGATGATCTGGTTAGAAGAGTATATTTCTTACATTTGGACTATGTTAAGAAAAGTAACTGTAGACCTAAAAAGACTTGGTTAGAAAATATTAGGAATGATTTTTTTTATTAGATTTTAATGAGAATTTAACTATTAACAAGACACAATGGAGAAAAAATGATTCATGTAGCCGACCCCGCGTAGTGGGATAAAAGCTTGATGTTGTTGTTTTATTTTTTTGTGCAATTATAATAAAGGACTTGGTACTTAAAGGGTTGACCAATTCCAAGCGTGGATGACAATGATAAGTTGGAGGTTTCAGCCATTAACTAGAAGATAGCCTTTTCATTTATAAATTTATAAATTGATGTACGCATTCTGATTCGATTATTAATAATTGAGATATGCCTTTTTTCCTTCTGCATTTTTTGTCTTTTTTATTTTGATTTTTTTTATATGATATCTAAGTTATATTATTCAATTTTTGTTTCTATCATAAAGTAGAAATGTAATTTATTATTAATAGCATGCTAGATTTGATTTTGCAAATCCCAGTATGTACTTATTACCAAGGCTTTTAAAACCGGACCGGACCGGCCGGTTCAACCGTTTGAACCGCGAACCGGCTGCCCGGCCGGTTACGGTTCGCCAGAGAACCGTTTTCGCGTCGAACCGGTCTCGGACCGTTTGAACCGCCGGTTCGACCGTTGAACCGGAAAACCGGCTCCGATTTCTCATAACCGTTTTCGCGTCGAAGGGTTGGCTTCTTGATCGACGGCGGCTGTGCAGCATCTTCGCCGGTATCGGCGGAGGTAGGGGAGGGGATGCAGCATGGGGGCACGTTCCCCCACTGACTTTATTAATAATTTTTAATTAAGTATATTTATGAGTCATTAATTATCTATTAAATCAAAATAGTTTTATTATATAATAAAATATTTAGTACTAGCCGTATACTCACAACCACCGGCCAGAGCATACAACACAATTACTAACCTTTTCAAAAGGTTTTATTATATAAAGAAAAATATTTTTCTCTTTCACGGTGTGGGACTAAAAGGTTTTTTTTTTTCTTATGATTGGAAGGCTTAGGCGGGAACTGGGAAGGGTTTACATAGGCGGGACAAGGCATTTTTTTTTTTCAGGCTTAGTCACTTTTTTTTTTCTTCTAAGTTAATAATTCTAATTAATTCTCTAACCCCTCCTTCTTCCGGTTCATTGACCGGTCCGGTTTTAAAAGCCTTGCTTATTACTATCTTTTTGTTCATTAGAGGCCCATATTGATTTTGACCAGGCAATAATATCAAGCTGATGTTCTGTAAATATAAAATCAGGCGGTGAATGTGGCTACAAAAGGCATGAATGATAAATTGGTTGCTTTATAAATATGCAAGTCCATGCATAGCTGTCAGATTTTTAGCTCCATGTCTTACATTGATTTGTTCCTAGTTGTTTGTCTGTTTCATTAAGAAAGATGTGTGCAAATCTAATTAATATTCATAGGAGTTCACTTTGTTTCATTGTCAATAAATCAGGTTCCATAAGTCTGCCAAACTCTATTTTAGTTGGTTTTAATGGTGAATCCCTGCAGGTGTTATAATATTGAATTAATTAATACTAAAGTTTGATTCCTTTAAACACCATGCATGTTCAACCTCTTTGCTCGTTTGATGTACTCTTTAATTCTTTCTGTGTCTTATTAAAACTCTCTACCTTCTTCCTTACAATTGATCAAATTAATCTTTTGTCTATTAATTGCTAGCTTAACCCTTCAAAATATCAGTCTAGAAAATGACAAAGAGGACGCTATCCAACTTGGTTTCCCGAGGCATTGCTCATTCCTTTGAGTCAAGGGTAAGAACCTCCCAATCAGGGATTTTGTACTGCTTTCTCTTTTTTTTTTTACAAAGAACTTTTGTAATAGAGACACTTCTTTGTCTTTTTAAATGCAACTGTGCTGTATAAATCCAATGATCTAGTTCTTCTTTGACTATACTCTGGAGGAACAAGAGATTTATGTTGGTTGTTAGTTGCTTATTACATTTAAATAAGTTCATACTTAATACTACATGACAGGTTTTTGGATTTTTAGCATTTGTTTGAGGATAAATGCTATTCTTAAAATGCCCTACCCTTTACTTTGGGTCCTAGGTTTCTTCTTTTTGCTCTGTCTGTATGTTTTTTTTTTAATTTCTTAAATTGGATGTTTGAACAGCATGTCTTGCTTGCAAGTAGTCTACAATTTTCATTGTCTAGCTGTATTTGTTAATCCACCAGTACTATAATACTTCTTGCATGTCTTAACAGAAACTACATATATTATCATCCTTGATTTTATTTTAAACTGATGAATCTTTCAAAAGCCTACAACAACAACAAGCCTATCATGGACCTATTTTTTATCAAGGGAAGTTGAGTAATTGATTCATTTTATAGTCGAGCTGTTAATTCTCATGTAATTTTCTACTTTCTCCATTTTCCTGCTACGCCTAAGAAGCCACATTAATATTCAAATTTTAAATATTTCCTTCTCGTTTTTTAGTTGTAAAGATCAATTAACTAAATAGGTTTGATCGATTATATATAATTAGGAGGCTATAAATTTGAATATAACTTCTTATTTTTAAAAGTTGGATGGTTTATTCGATGGTAAGAATATATTATGGTGGTCTAATTAAATTTTTAAAAATATCATCTAAACCATTATTTTATATGGAACCTGTAGACTTAAAAGTGAAAACCAAGTTGAGTTTGAAGAATTGATAATGTTAAGATTCATGTGTGTTAAAACTATGGAAGGCAGATATAATTATATTAATGAGATGGTTGGAGAATTACCTATTGAAGATAATACAATGAAAAGTAGCTTTTAGGTGATTCAGGCATTTACTTTGCAGGGTAGAATATACTCTAAATTAGATGGCAAGTTGAACTAATTTTCAAAGATTTAGAAAGAAGAATAGCTTGTCAAAGACAACTAGGTGATATGTTCGGTGGTATTGTCCATTACCTTCAAAGAGGAGGTTTGGAGTTCAATTCCTGTAGAAGAAAAAAAAAAATCATGACACCTGATGTAGCAATTAAAAGAATGGATGGAGGAGAAAGATTTTTAAGTCTATTCAAAATAGTTCAGATAATTCTAATGATGATGATAAAATGTTTTAATAGGTTGTATCAATGCAACTCTTTGGGCAAAGTTTAAAGTATTCAACAAAGATAAGTGGTGATTCAGATACACATGAAGATTTTCGTTCGACCAATAAACTGGAAGGCTCTGGAATCTCCGTGCAAGATGTTGTTCAACAGGTGATTGAATCTTAAGCAATTTTAAGTACTCATGTTTAGGCTTGATCCTTTTAACTCTCCTACTATCTGCCAATGGCTATTGAATGAGTGTTTTTAACAGGATGTTAAGATAAACCCAGTGATGATTTATATGAAGGGTGTTCCTGATGCTCCTCGCTGTGGATTTAGTGCATTGGCTATCAAAGTTCTGCAGCAATACAGTAAACCTGCATTTAATTAATTTCAATTTACTTTGAGCGACTGAACTCATATATGAGTAACAATTAATTTCTAGCTCAGTTGCATATATTTGGGGTTATATTCTGTCTTTTTGCATGTTGTTGCAGGAGTTCCCATAAGTTCTAGAAATATTCTGGAAGATCCTGTTCTCAAAGAGGGTGTAAAAGCTTTTAGGTTAGTAATTATCAATCTACATTAATTTGAACATGTTAAATTCATCAATCCGAACTAATGTTATCATTTCAAAGTTTGAGAGGTGATATAGACTATTTCTTTGTGCAATCTACCCTTGATCAGCTTATTGTCACTCGGCTGCTAACATGTGCAGATTCCACATTGTTGTTCTTGTGTTGACCATTTTTCTGTATTTGCTCCTCTATGCTCTCTGAGATAAATGTAACTTTGTTTTGTTGACAGAAAATTGAACAAACCTTCACTTATCTAACTAGCCTCCATGATAAAGAGTTTTTCATATGAAAATGGTGAAGAAACATATCTCTGTTTGTATGACATGAAAAGTATATTGGTGATTGACTAACAGATAGGGTTTATATGTTTAAAGACCCATTAACAAACTATTTTTATATCTGGCTGTCTACATTCCTTAAAATTACGGATTAAATTGATTGATGAAAAAAAAAAACTTGTCAAGTTACTGTAAACTTATTGAAGTTCTTCTAATACTTAATTGTGACTTCCTTTTCATCCTTGAACACGTTTGTAATAGGTTTTTTTCAGATTGTCACTGCTATTGATGGTTTATAGGATAATCTCTTAAGCGTGGTATTTTACGTTAGATACATCATACATCTAAGAGAATGTACAGATGCATGCGGGTTCTATCGTGTACACATAAGTTTATCTAAAAGTACTTAGAATATATATTATTTTAGCATTTCACTTCATGAAAGGAAAAATGTGGTTCTTATAGAACCTTAAAGAGGAAGGGTTATAAAGAAGGTTGTCAAGCCAATTACCAATCCCTCATTAAGTTGTCCTCAAATATACAAAGGTGTAGCCTTAAGGTGAAGATAGTGAGTGGCTTCTCAAAAAAGCTACTTTAAGATAAGATTTGCGCCTCGGAAGATTCGGGTCTTATAGAAAATGCCATAAGGTGAACACTGGGATGTGACGTTTGGGTATTACATAATTAAAAGATCCATTGTTGGAAGCTCTCCATAGCAAGATTAGAGGCTTCGAGTACCAGCTACAAAGTCATTCACAATAAATAAAGAGGAAAGTACTCAAAAAAATGATTGGAAAGCTGGCCACAAATTTCCCAATTGATTGTACTCAAAAGATACAAGAAGGCCTCGAGATAAAAGATGACGAGTGGCTGCCTAGAGAAGCTTCTTCAATATAAGACTCGACTTTAAAAATTCGAGTTACACAATCGACTGAACAATAGGGTTAGCAGATAGGACATACATCTCCTAGGATATGTTGGTGGTATCTTAAAGAGGCAAATACTTCATCTATAAGGCCCTCTTCATCATTAAAAGAGGGTTGCTAGTTTCCACAAACCTTCTAGCAGAGCATACTTAAAGATGAATTAACAACCTCAGAGTAAAAACTTGGAATTGCTTATCAATTAACATGCTTCAGAATATTACCCATATTTAAAAGATTTGAGTCTAGTAAAAAAAATGTGATGTTGTTATGAGCATTGTGACTTGGCATCCAGGCAATGAAATTACCAAAGATCTCCACTAGAAGCTCCCAACATTGAGGTTAAGTCCCAAATATCAAAAGTTTTTCGACAATTCTTGGGCGTAACCTCGGGGCATTATAGTTCTTATTAGAGATTTCCTATCAAAGGCCCTCAATAGCCAACTTCAAGGTCGAGACCTATCCAAACCTATAGGCGAGCACTAAGGCGTGATATTTGAGCAATGGAATTCTCAGAGGTCTTTCGCCAAAACATCCCAACAAACAAACTCCAAGTTCAATGCCTTAAAAAGCAAACGTTCCACAGTTAATGCCATCTTGAAGATTCATTGCTAGAAGATTCTGACGGCCATCTCTAGGGTCAATGTCTCAAATACTCAAGCTCAAATGGCCATGAAGCAGAGACACCAACACGAGACATAGATGCATGAACAATATATAATTTTAAAGCTAGGAAATGATATGCTATGGACAATTTTCTTTTAATAAATTGTTTATATAAATTATAAAATGTACAATAAAAACACCTAATTTCTATATTTTCTATCAAAAAATATTATAAAATAAAATATAATAGCATTTATATCAGATAAAAAGCATAAGAATCAACAAAAAATTGTTTAATCACAATTTAATTCCAGTATTTTATCATGTATAATTGCCAACAACTCAACAAATTGATGTAACACTAATTGACCCACAAACTCAACATTATAGTCATCTTCATGTCTAAAACCAATGTCCTTTGATCGAATCTATTAAAATATAGTTTGTTGAGCTAGCTCTTAAAAAAATGCACTTCATCATCACTTGTCCCGAAAAATGTTAGGTATGCCTTGACAATGTCGGGGTGTGTTCTGACTTTGTATGGCTATTTTTGGAAAAGAAGAATCAAATATGATTTTTAGCTTGTTGTATGTGTCTGTGCTCGACGTGGGCATATGATATTTTTGTAGTATTTGTGTAGTTACATGGTCAGCATCTGGGCTTGATAATCTGGGCAATATAACTTACAGATTTATTGCTCGGTCTCAACAACCAACTCTAAGGTAAACCCCTCAACAAGCCATTATGAAAAAATGCAGGCATATACATACACGTTAATAAATTGGAGCACTATTTTATGGAGTTTATGTTCATTGTTTCTAGTCGTTGCTTTATTTGGTATGGCTAAAAAATTTATCTTGATATTTTATGAAGTTAAGAAATGGATGAGTTTCACTGAAATATCGAATGCTTCGCTTTGCTATTAGCCTTTGGAAGCGTTAGGAAAAGTACATCTTTTCTTCTCAATGTGCTTTCTAAACATTGGCTCTTTGTTGGGTAGTCAATATAAACTAAAAGTAATAATAAATCAAATTTAAGCATTTCTTAAGAGATTCTGTTTTGTTAGAAGCGAAGAACTTAAATTTTAGGATGATCTACTATTATAAGTTACTATAGGTGGTCGTATTTTATGTATACTTGAACATTCTGCTTCATTGCTATCAACAAATGAAGGTTACAACAGCCAAGAAACAAAACAAAATTCAGCCAATATAGGCACCAACGAAAGATCTAAACTAGACAAACAATCATCCTCAAGAATATTAACAAATTCTTGAGGCAAAGTATTTTATGTACACATGTACTGATAAATCCTTTTCATACTTTTTCAATTGTAAAGTTCCTCGTGCTCAAGCCTAATTCTACATTCTAGTGGACTGCTTGTGCTTTCACTGAGCGCTTTGAAAGTCGGAGTTTTCTTTCCTGTTTGTTTGAAAAAAGAAGTCAACATAGATAAGTTAGACAAATTTTACATTGCCTGCAGTTTACAAAGTGGGGGAGAAAGGTAAGGGAAAAGGTTTTACTGGAAAGATACAGCAAGACACTCGCTTCTGTTTAGTATTCTAATACCCTGTTACTAAAATCTGGCCAACAGCTGACAGGATTCTAATGGTGATTTGGGACACATTAGTTTGTTTCTAAAATATTCATTTTTTTTATTCTAGGTTGGGTGATCTTCATTTTTTATAATTTTTTGTACATTTTTGTTTTAAATAAATAAAAACTATATAATATCTAAAATAAGAATTGGAGGCCCATCAATCTTTTGTGGTGTATCATCTCCCCCGATTTTTGTTTCATGCTGGACTAGACCAATTATCTTTCTGTAATTCATTACTTGCTTTCAGAAGTGGTCCGGTTTTCTCTTTCTGTACATATGGCACATGGATAGGCTGACGCTTTTTCCTATCAAGCACGAGTGTCTACAGTTGATAAATAAGGCAATAGTAAGTAAATGGAGCTGATTTGCGTGTCTAAAGAAAAAAATACCAGTGCGATAGCGCTAGCCTAGCTATGTAGGGAAAAGGCAGTGGAAATAAGCTATAATGCTAACTTGGTTATGAGCTGCCTAGAATCATTTTACCAGATTCAATTAACAACACATTCAACACTAGGTTGGAAGGGGTGATGAAATAAATACTTAAACTTCACTTAAAATAGTTAGATGATTCTAAATTGAACAGCTAATCACTATTATGCTATGCTGGCTAAATTGTAATCTTCGTTTTAAATTTGCTTTCTCTGTAGCAATTGGCCAACTTTTCCACAAATTTTCGTGAAAGGAGAGTTCATTGGGGGATCTGATATTGTTCTGAGCATGCACCAGGTTCTAATTTTTTATATGATTGGATCATTTAATCTTTTCTACTGTGATGTGGCTTATCAGTATGGTAATCTTTCTGATTCTTGTTGCAGAACGGTCAACTAAAAGAGTTACTTTCGGATATCAACGGTGACAATTCTAAGCCCTCGGGTGAATAACTAGTTTTTTCTTTGTGCTGGATTTTGAGATAAGGCCCTGATTAGTTTTTGTTTATGAAAATATATTACACATGGAGTTTTTGGTTAATATTAGCGTGTAATCTTTGCTATACTTACATAATATGATATGGCAATCTATTTGCATTCAAGCCTAATGAAATTATGCCACGTCTATCATTTTTTTTCCCAGACTAGATTGTTGTTGTTGAAAAAGTGAGATTAAGGTTTCATTTGGGACGATTTTCTTCTGACTGCTTTTTAAAGCAGCTTTCTAGTACAATAATTAAAATTTTTGTACTAAAAAATTGTTTTAAGAAGCAGTAAAGATGAAATGAAGCCTAAGACTTCTTTTAAGACGACTTTCTTGCTGCTTTTTAAAACAGTTTTTTAGTAAATAAAAATTTTAGTTCAAAAAGATTTTGTATTAGAAATCTGTTTTAAAAAAGAGTAAGAAAGTTGTTGCAAACGAAGCCCAAGTATGCCTATGAGTGTATTATTTTCTCGTTGTTATCATGTATAATAATGCAGCATCTGTTGTCAATTACTAACTGATGTCATCTCATATCGGTGCACATTTTACCAATAGTGAATGCTTCTTCTTTGGCTTCTGGACACAGAAGCCCTGTTGTTAGTCTTCAGCAGCATGAAGACCAAAATGAGAATTTATTTGGACCATGCTGTCAATTGGTAGAGAAATTATTCCGTGCGGATGCCGAATGTCGTCCGGAGGTCAATCAAAATAAGTCACGTAGATACCGCAGCTCAGCACTGTGCTCGGTATTGCTGAGTGACTCATTCTGATTGGTCTTTGAATACAGAGCTACGTTTAGGATCCACATAGAATAATTTCTCCAATTGGTAATACTTACTTTTATGTTAGTTCTTTCACTGATGAAGATAATAGCAGGTTGGCTTTGTAGATTCCTGCCAATTTAGCTTAATAGTTTGGGGCTTAGATTATTATTGAAGTATTTCTGTAAGGCTTTGTTTGGTACAGTTTCTTTGCTATTTTTTAGTATAAATTTTTTTTTATTTTTACTAAAAACAATTTTATGCAGCAAAAAAGCTGCAAGTCAAAGGATGAGAACTTGGATATATTTAATTGAGCATGTTGAGCTCTGAAGCTCCTCCAGTATTGCTTCTTCCTGCTAATATTCGATGTGAAGATTTGATCTCCAAACAGAAAGGAAAACACAAATTTCTACCTTTCAATTGTTCTGCATTCTATTCAAATATTTTTGAACTTAACGGTAAAATTTAATCAATTAAAAATAAAAATTAGCTTGCAAGTGAGAAACGACTCACTCAAAGTTAATTTATCTTAATTTAACTCAATATATAATTTATATTTCGTGTGTGGAAATACATAGGTAATATGATCTCACAAAATAAATAATATAATGAACACAAAATGTGCTGCAAGTCCCTTTGAAATTGGCTCAAAATTAGCTAAAACTAAAATCTAATGGTATATTTGAGAAGATTATAGTGTTTTATAAAGTTGGTTGTGACATTACTATGGAGAAAAAATTTCATTATTATGATTGTTTAAAAAATTTTCACCATAAAATTTTTCAAGAGTGAAAAAATAAAAAGAAAGTAATTGACAAACAAAATTAGTATTGTTGTATTGTTTTTTGTAACACTAGTATCTATTGACTTTTGCCCCTCTTAGGAGGCACTTGACGGCATAAATAATTCCTCGGTGAGTCTACCGGTAATCAACCCTACAAGCATAAGATTCACAGTTATTTTCTCCCCACTTCAGAGATCATTCTACATGAGAAGAGAATCGAATATGAGCTGAGGGTTCATAACCATACTTGCCCACAAACCCAGTTAAACCAGTGGGATAGTATTAATGTCTCAAGTTTGATGTTTAAAAAATAAAACAATGCATAAACTATCCCAAACAAACTCTTAAATCTTCAAATTTGAATGAGGATATTCCCTTGAATTTTAACTCTTTATTGCCCCTAGTTCACAGTGAGATCAAAGCTCTACTTCAAATTATCAGAATTGCTGTAATATACCTTTGGCCTTTCCCTAGTCTTGAAAGTTCTTTGAGAAGGATGGCAACATTCTTCCAATGCATTCTACTACCTGCTACTGTCCACATACAGGCACACATACACTAAATGCAGCTTTTTAAGCATTGTAAGCACAAAGAAACCAGCATAGCATAGCACTGCATTGGTACCCATACCCACACTCACCCATGTACGGGTATGAGTACGTCCATGATCTCTTGGGTGAGTAAGGGTGAGTGGGGATAAATTGATTTACATTGCTAATCACCACATGACGTGTATTTCCACAACCCTCACTATACAATGTACATCACTAAACCGCATTATGACCCCAATAAATTCTGATTTGCTTTCAGACAACAACCCTCAAAGCCATTAGTTCGTGACGGACTACATTCAAAAAGAGTAGAAAGTGGGTGGGTATGGGTGGATAAGACATCCCAAATGTCACCATGAGTGGGCGTATGTGGGCAAAGCCCGTTGGCGTAGAGCTTGGGTAACCAACCAAGACCCTATGTAGGACTTTGCAGCATAGAAAAACATGTACAAGGGGATGGCTAGATTCAAATTAGGTTGGACCCTTACTCAGATCAAAATATGACCACTACATTAAAGCAAACAACAAACCTCCATAAGTTTATTAGAAATATACATCAACACCTGGTACGTTACAGATAGCAAAAACTATTAAACAAGGAGATGAAGCTTAAACAAAGCCAGTAAATCGAAATACTACACTAGAAAACATTATTACTCAAAGCTAGATCTAATCATAGCCGTATATTTTAGTCATAAAAATAGCTTTCCATTCCCACCCCAGCTATTATAAAAGCTAAAGGCTTCCTTTAAGGCTATTAACGGGTCCCATCGAGTCCCAACCTTGCAGTAAGCCACTTGCAAACTTCATCCATTTCTTCTGGGACAGTGTAGTGGCCAAGCCTGCAAGTAACAATTCATTCAAACATTTTTCCAGTCTTAGCTTGCAACAGAAAATGCAGGTGAAGTTTGAATACCCATTATAAGTTTTAAATGTAACATTTCGGAAAGCAGATGATCTTAGAACTTCAGCAGACTTCTCCCCATGCTTATAGAGCACAACATCATCAGCTGCAACAAAGATTTTAGTCAAGATGAACACTAACATTCTCATTAGATGAAACATTATAGGGAAATTTACATACATACTACTTTATAACATCCTATTTACATATATAACATCCAAACTTTTAATATTACATGCATACCACTCAATATTATTTTAATATAAAAAATATCACTTATATTTCTTTCCTATCACTCATATATTTCATTTCTACCACTCCTATTTGATATGAAAATGAACTATGGATGATATGTATGTAAGATTAAAGTTTTAGATGTTAAATATATAAATAGAATAATATTAGGTGGTATGTATGTAAATCTACCAAAATTTTATTGAAATAGTTTTACTTGTAACATAAGAGAGTCATAGAAGATGAAAAACTATGAATTAACATCATTTGCCTCTTTCTTAAAATGAAATTCATGCCATATTCTCCAGTATCAAAATATGCAGAGTTTCAGCTTTCTATGTTGCTATATCAAATTGCACTTCTTGCTCGAGGATAAGTAGAATTTGTTATGTGTGGATAAATTAAAAAAAGACAGAAACAAGCTAATTGTATCAGTAAGGAACATCACCCGAATATTAGAACAACATATTCTATCAACCACTGAAGCTAAACAAGAATTTATTGTCAACCCTCAGTAGGCTTATCAACGAAATTGTTTCATTGTTTTTCTTTTGGAAATATTGAAGGCCTAAGCATAAATTTAATGTAGGCAGCATTTGATCCAAAAATATCAGTAAGTTCCAAAATAAGTACACGAATTGATCTCATTTTATGGATGATAATTTACATGTTAGTCTCAGAAGTCAGAATCGTGGTTGAATGGATGTCTCATGTTCTTTAACTGAAAAACTTGATTATTTCAATGATAGTTCCTCTCTTTTATTAGTATTTCTCTAATCTAGTTTAGAGTTCCAGCTGTGAACAATACTCTTATGGGTGGCTTTTTATATTGCTTGGAAGACGAATTTTTATTTATCAATTATCATGTATTTTCTTTCGAGTTGGGTAGCCTTTTAATAAGAGTTCATGCAGCACTATTTTATGTGCTTTACATTCAATTCTTTTCCAAATAAAAAATAGAAATAAAATGGTGACTATAACATTATTTTCTTTTTAGTTGGGTAGCTTTTAAAATTTTAATCAGAGTTCATGCAGCACTATTTTACGTGCTTCACAATCAAAATTTTTTCCAAATAAAAAGTAAAAATAAAAGGGTGAATTTAACATTATTTTCTTCTGCAATGGCAAAGAAAAATATTTTTTCACTTTTATCATTCCATTAATCAAAGCATGCTTATTTTGCAATATTTTTAAGTCCATGCTTAAGTTCAAACTTATGACATTGACATTGAATATCAAACCGTTGCACTATTAGCGATCATTAACTCTGTCTAGGCATCCTCTCTTTAGCTCTAAATATTGATTGATAAAAGGATACAAAATTATAAAACTATAGATACATTGACATTAAATATTGATTGACTAACAAGTAACTTTTGCACTAATTTCAAATATTATATCTATCAGGGTCATCCTCTCTTTAGCTCTAAAATTGATGAGAGCACTGAAAGGTATAAAACTAGATTGGATGTAAAAAGGAATTACCCAAACTTATGGTATTGATTATAAAGAAACACTCAAGAGCAGGTTAATCACACCTTATTTTTAAGGAAATCACTTACCCGTCAAATCGCTATAATGATTATTTATGTTAATAATATTATCATAATTGGCAAAGATGAGGAAGACAAAAGGAATCTTAGCAAAAAATATTTTAAATTAAAGATATGAGAGTCCTTATAAATTTGAGTATGGAAATCACAAGATCAATGAAAAATATACCCTTCTCAATAAAAACATACTCTAAATCTTTTAAAAATAATTAGAATGATAGAATACAAACCAACCAATATTCCTATGAATCCTATCAACAAAATAGGATCAAATGGTGGCACTACAAGTTAATAAGATATCAACATCTAGTTAGATAGTTTATTTATCTCTATCATACTCGTCTTGACATTTGTTACTCCCTCAATCTGATTAGCTAATTTATGAATACACCTAATAAGAAAAACACTTGCCGTTCACTAGATATTAAGGTATTTAAAAATCCTAACTGAGGTCTATTTTCCAAAAAGAAAACATATAGGATAATAAAAATATTTATTGATGCTAATTCGGCTGGGGATCATAACTGGTCGAATATTCACATCTGACTATTGTTCATTCATATGGAAAATCTTGTCAATTGTAGTAAAAAATTGGCAGTGATTGCTAGAAGTGGCACTGAAGCTAAATTTAGGGTAATGACTCGTGAAATTTCTAAATAAGTGTGGCTTATAGGATTATTGGAAAACCTAAAAATCCACATTAGCGAACCAATGGTTATGATGTGACAACCAAGCTACAATCTACATTGCCAAAGATCTAGTACACCATGATAGAACTAATCATATGGAAATTAACAGATATTTCATAAAAGAAAAAAATTGAACAAGGGATTATTCAGATACGGTACACTCCAACAAGACTTCAGATAGCAAATATTGTGATCAAAGCTCTTGATCAATCATAATCTGATAATCTAACCTCCAAGTTATAAATGATCAACATTTATTCTCAATTAGAAATGAACAACATTATTTCCAACTTGAGATAGTGAAAATTTTATAAAAATACCATCATTTGTAGTTCACACAATCCGTATGCTCTAATTAAATCAATTGCAAGATAATTGTTCATCTCAATAATCCAGTAGTTCTCATCTTCCTTATTTATCTCCCATTAATTTTGCATTAATTCTTCTTTAACTTTAGGACCAGTAATTAAAATTATTTAGCACATATAAATATGTAGTTCTCTTATAATTTGAATCAAATAAATTCTTCTCTCCTATTTCCTATCTCCAGTTTTAACAAATATATCAAAACAAAAATATTATGCTTCAGATAAAATGATACCTTTTCCATGGCAAAGCAAAAGTGGCAAGGAAGCAGCCCTTCTAGTAGAATCTTGAGAACTTTCAACTTTATTCTTCAAGTTCCTAAAAAAATGTAGAGGTGCAAACTTGATTTAGAGCACATTTGATTGCTTGAAGCTAGAAAATATATTTTAAAAAATTATATATATTTTAGATTTGATCATTTGATTGGACGTAATTAGTAATCAATATGAATTTTAAAGTTGTCACACACCTTCAAAATCTCTTAAAGGTATGAATTTTAAATTTACACTAAAAATGTGTTAAAAACATCACAACTTTCTAAAATATATTTTCCATCTGTAAGCAACTAAATGAGCTCTTAGATGCATTAGGAGAAGGAAGAAAATCCATGGCATTAATAATTCTATTAGGCAGACCTGGAGCATGGAAGCCAACCACTTAGACCAACCACTACACTGAGGTTAATTGGGTATGGATTTCCACTTCCAAATCTCCCGTGAGCACAGCAGACTGCAGAGTAAAGGGCAGTTGAAGCTCCCATACTGAAACCACCAATACCAAGTTGAACTACATGAATGACAAAATAAATCCAGAAATTAGTTATCATTCTGAATGTTGGAGAAATCACAAAATGCATCGTAAAGGTAATATATTTTAGGAAAAAATCAATGCTTTCATAATTTTTTCTTCCTCAGAGAATTGCCTCTTAAGTTACTCTGACAGAGTTGTTTGATTTAGGCCCAAAACATATTAACTTGGCTTGGAAAGCTAAAAGCTTAAGAGCTTTAATTAATCAAGGATATGTACCCATTTTGTATGCCACAAAAATAATCTGTGGTACTACCTTAATCTGTTGTACTAATTAGTCAATAAATTGGATATTAATTTAACTTACAAAGTAGGAATGAATGATTACAAAATTAAATTATCCTAACTAATTAAGTTAATTTGGAAATAATAATGTAAATTAGCTAAAAATAATGATGATTAAAACTAATTTAACAACTAATTGATTAATTAATTTAACTAATTAGGTGTTAATAATCCTTTATGTGGAAACCCTTGCCTATTTAACACTGCAAATTATCCTAACTAATTAAGTTAATCGAGAAATAATAATGTAAATTAGCTAAAAATAATGATGATTAAAACTAATTTAACAACTAATAGATTAATTAATTTAACTAATTAGGTGTTAATAATTGATCATGATATTAATCAGGAATATTAATTAGGTTTTTGTAACGGATAATTAAGCTAATTAAGGATTAAAATGAAAAAGATAATAAATTAGTTTAATTCACCATAGATTAACAAATATAAATAACCTTCTTTGTGGTAGCTAATAAGCTTGTCCTAGCCTACGCTCAAAGCTGAGATAAGCCAGACAAAAGTTAACCAGGCTTATCTAATGTGCATACAATTTGATGAGCTTAACCAAATTAAGCTATAGCTTAGCTTGAAGTTAAGCATCCAACAAATAATCCTAACGCGCGGAACCCAACCAAAACAAACATTAAATATCTAATTTAAAAGATCAAAAGTAACCAACAAGCATTATTTGCTTCTGTTTGAAACTTACTGCCGGCTGGCTCAGCTGACAGAAGGTTTGCAACATGTGTTGCTGAAGCATCCATTCCCTCTATATCATCAGGACCATTCTCCGAAAATTCTCCAACATCAAACCCTAATAATGGATACAACAAAATATGAATTAAGCTCAACATCCAAAAAAGCACTAGACTAGCTAAAAAATAGGGCTGAACTCAAAAATAGCTAATGCATTTCTAATACAAGCATTCAAATAAGTTGTTCAGAAGCAAAAAACATGAGGTAGAGGCATTAATAAGCGTGCTCACATGCAGTGCAAGGGAATCCTCCAAAAGCTGCAACAGGTCGGGTAGGTGCTGTTGGACATATCCATTTAATCTGCACATACATACAAATAAGACGAAAAATAGTTTCCTAGACAATTCAAAAAATGAATGCAAATTCAATTTACAGCAATATCGCTTACATTAGGAAGAGGAAGTGTTTCCAAGAGCTGGGACCAGCTGGAAAGAAAATACAACAAGAAGAATGTCAGCTTATAGTTATTTCAAAATCATTAAGAGCAGTCAACAGAGACATATATGAAGTATTACATAGATAGAGTTGAAATTTTTTCATAAAGAGCCTAAAAACAGGGTGTTAGTATGTTCTAAGAATGGTTACAAACCAAAATGGCTGAAGGCAACATTAAATTTACCACTAAAAGTTAAGAAACACAATTAGCTCTTTATAAAATAGTATGAGAATGTTTTATTTCATTTCAAGTAATCTAGTAATAATTTTGACAAGCTTACGAAAGAAGTATCAAATTTGTTCACACTTAGAAATATGGCAACTACACTGCAAGCAACTATGGTTGGTCCTCTTTTCATGTTCTTGGTACTACAGAATAGTAGTCCTGCTATGCTCATGTTAAAGACAAAGCAATTAAAACATGGAAAAAGGCTATTAGGTTAAATATCCATCAAATTTATCAAAATTCAAAGGCATATAAATTACTGAATATCAATCACGCTAGTTCAATCAGAAATGTAAAACTTCTATCACAAAAGGGAAAACATTATATATAAATATTTTTATTATAGTTGATGAAAATAAACAAATTGAATAGTAAGGGTTTCTTTTGAAGAAAAAACTAACCACCATAGCCAAATTTTGCATGACAAATGATGACACCATACGTAGTATTATCTAATAGTCTGCATGGTTACGAAAAATAAATGACTTCATTGTGAACATAAAAGAAAAGTTTTTTAAGATCTAAATGTACATTATATATAAATATATGCCTCGAGCAAACAAACAAAAAATGCAGAATGTTAAACTTATACGTGAAAAGGTTGGAGTAGCTCCAGTAGAAGATAAGATTAAAGAGAGTTGCCTTAGATGGTTTGGTCACATAAAACGGCGGCCTTCCGATGACCCGGTTAGGAGAGTAGAGATATTAGATTTGACTTATGTTAAGAAAGGTAGGGGTAGACCTAAAAAAACTTGGTTAGAAAATATTAGGAATGACCTTTCTTTATTAGATTTAAACGAGAATTTGACTTTTAATAGGACACAATGGAGAAAAAGGATTCATGTAGCTGACCCCACGTAGTGGGATAAAGGCTTGATGTTGATGTTGTTGTTGTTAAACTTATTGATGTAGGGAATCATGTTTGATTATATCAAGAAAGCTAAAAATAATTGGAAAAAAGACAATAGTAGACAACTAAAAATTATTTTATGTTGATTACTACTCTTACTCTGTTGTAAAAACCTAGGAAAAGTACAAAGAAAGTAAAATGAATATATTGCCAGACCAACATAGTAAGCAGTAGTCCCAAATAAGACTTTAGGCATGCTCATTATTCTTGAAAGTCCTAGACAAAGCCATCTACTAAAGGACAAGGCCGAGTGAAAGCAACATTAACTTTATTCTATTATGTTCGGCGGTTAGGAAGTTCTCTCAAATAACATCAAGAAGAATGAAATGTCTAATGGACAGAAAAATGATCCGTAAATAGAATAACATGGCTAATCATCAACTTATACAATAGCACTGCCATTCTCCACTTTATTCAGTTATTCCATTCACTGATTTACAATAGAAAGGAATCTTCCCCTATTAACATGCAAACAAACAAGCCAAGGAAAAACAAATATAATAAGCTCTTAATCAATTTAAGAAAAGTAATACTAGGAATACCTAAAAGAACAAAAACATGGCAATCATTTTGGAAAAAGTAGAGAATAAAGTAGTAAGCACAGTCATATAAAAGACAATCTCCTATACTCTCATAGACACCATATGGTGACTACGTTTTTTACATGCATGTGATGACAAAACTCATGCCATTAGCCATTTTAAATAGTTAATAGTTTGGAACGTTAATAAAGACAACAAGCACTCCTGTAATAATTTTTTTTCCATCTTATGAAGTACAATCACTAATATTTCTAAGAATAAGTAAGCTTAAAATTCCTGCAAAATGAAATATAAAGTATGCACTCCACTACAAATTCAAGAAGAGAGGCCTTCGTGCAAGACATTTAAATGTTTCTCAAACTCATCTATAATTATCAGCAATCAAGACAACAAAGAGAGTAAGGCATTGTTCGGGACGGCTTTTTTAATGCTTCTTAAAATAGATTTTTAGTACAAAAGTTGAAATTTTTGTACTTGAAAGCTGCTTTAAGAAGCAGCAAAAAAGCCATCCCAAATGAAGCCTAAGACTACTACTTTAGGAAATTCCAACCAATTAAACAACCATTAAGTGTAAACTATACCTTCCCCCGTTATCCCCAAGACCATGGAGCCAGACAATAGTGGCCTGGTGTCTCCCCTTGGGTTTGACAACATGTGTCCTCCCGAATTCAAAAGCCCTCCTATTAGTCCTACTCCCTGCATTCCCACTCAATAACTTCAACAACAGAACATTAACAGGAACTATAAACCATTAAATGCATAATAATAAATTGACACAACACATGAAACACAAGAAGTTATCAAATGATGCAAACCAGAACCAAGTGAGCTGCTTCCATAACTCATCTTCAACTGTTAATAGCAGCAGCTATATCTCAAAACTTCACCTTGTTCAGCCGCTGGCTCTCCTGCAACAAACAGCAACCAAGAGGCCTCCATTTATACAAAAACAGGGATGCTGGAATACGAATAAAAACTCATGAATTCGAATCCTACCAGCACTCACCACGTACAGGTTGTAGCTAGAAAAGGCTTGGTAATATAAACAACGGGGTAAAAAGGAGAAAGGGACAACCCCAATAAGGTAAGACAAAGATGGGAGGAAAGCAAAGGAGCTTTATTTTTTCGATCAGGGAATCTCTCAGCATTACAGAGACGCAACCATGCATGAGCCATGTAGCTGATAATAAAACAGAAAAGGAAGAACTGAGGGAAAGGCGAGATGGTGCGCTTATGCTGGAGTTTACATACAGGAATCAATGCTTTTCGGCAGTGGAGAAGGAACAAATAGACAAAGACCTAGAATATTTTTAACGGTGAACCATGAAAGATTCACCCTTTATTGACATTTTCAGCGTTAGGGGTTTCCCTAAGGCCGAGATATTAGTAATGTAATGGAGAGTTCAGATCTGTAGAACAGAAACTTGCCATTGGACAATTGAGTTCAGGATGCCGGATCAGCTCAGTGGTTGCCGGTCACATTTCCGATTGCTGGTGGCGAATGCTCTATCTTGAGCTCCGGCGATGAGATCGCACTGCTCGTACGTGCGCTCTGAATTGGCCTAGTGAACCTCATCTCTTCACAGTCCGTTAGGCCAGTCTAAATTATTTTAGAACAACTAGTGCATTTGTTTCATAATGCGAATCCTATTTAATAAATCATTTATATATGTTATATTTAAAATGATAAAATTTATGAAATAAAGACTTAAATATAAAATTAAATGATCTTCTAAACAAAATATTCAATTTTATTATTTTTTTAAGGGAATATTCAATTTTATTAAAAATCCAAACTTAGTCAATAAGTCGAGCTAAGTCAAGACAGAAAAACCATCATAAACATGTAAATCAACTTTTATAGAGATATAACAAATGCAACTCCTATCGAGATTCCGATCCCATAAATAATACAACATAACTAGAGGGCTTTGATTCATAGTGATATGGAGTCAATCCATGAGCATTGAAATAAAGAGAGCATAAAACAACAACACACTTAAAACCGTTACATGATTTATCCAATAAAATCGGTGTATGTGAGCTTGCGGGGGATAAATTTGGAAAGTTTTGTGCATAATATTTTTGAATATATATGGGCTACAATTAGCGATTACATCAACTAAGTATATGGTACAAAGAATGCATAAATATGTAATTCTAAAATAAACATTATACAAGCATGAATGAGAATAAACTATCTTTTATTGAATACATTAATAGAGGTAAACAAGTAATACTTCATATCCACCCGTTCATATAGGGACTTCATGCGAAGCATACCATGCATTACTTTTTTTTTTCATTTAGCGATCATTAATAGTCATATTGGATTGTTAATCATTGTTGGTCCCATGAGCTTTAACTCATTTCAGATGTTTTGATGACTTGATTTAATCAATAATATATTAATTTTTGAACTAATATACTTGCTATAGAAATTAGAACTAACAAGTACAATTGCAAATAATGAATAAATTGAAAAGGAGTGTATGAACCTATAAAGCAATAATGTGGATAAATAACTTGAGGATAAGATTAAAAATTTGAGGCCAAAGCTAAAAGTCTAACGAGGGAGGCAGCTGGTCAATCTAATATTCCATAAAGGAGAGGCTGACCATGGTAGTTAGCTAAATTAGTTACCATGGGGCTAACCACCTTAATTACTCATCTCTTTATGTTTTGAATAGTGTTCTTTATAAACAATTATAAAAGATGTTATTCTCTATGACTTAAAAGTTAGAACGATTGAAGAGTGGTTTTAGATTGAATTTTGAAGTGACTTAGGCCTGGTTGTTGATCAAGGTAAATATTTGGTGATCTTTCTAAGCATTAACATTGGTGACTAAATGCTCATTTTTTTTGTTTTTTTTTTTTTTTTTTTTGAATGTGATAGATTATGTTGTTTTTTTCATGAAAAATCATAATTGCATTTTTTCCCCCAACAATTCCCATGAAGAATCCCATCTTGAGTGGTTATCCATGCTTGGTGACCTTAAACCTTACCAAGAATATTGGAAAAATTTATAGTTGTTCTTAACAAATCCATGTACCACATATAACTATTTTCCTAAATTTTCATCAATCTTTATTGTGTTTACATTGTATAAACTCTAACCTTTAAAAATTAGATAGACCATGATTTGATTTTGTACCTAGTCACTTCTAAATACCCAAAAAAAAAAAAACATAGCATGATTGTAATTAAATCAAAATTTATAGCACTCGAGCCCCAAAGTGGCGGTAAAGTAACTCTTACTGACAATGTGGCGAGGAAGATAATTGGGATTGATAAGTTTAATAAGATTGATTTCATTATTGCTGAAAAATTCCTCTTAGTTGATGGTCTTATTTATAAGTTTATCTACTAAATGATAAAGGGTTTGATATAAAATTTCTCTCAAACACATGCTCATTGTTTTTGAATATGAAAACTATATTATAAGGTTTTAGGATGAATAATATTTATATGCTTAAACATTAATTGTTTAAGTGAGTTTATGGAAGTTTGTTGTTTGAAAAAAAATCTATACGAGTCTTAGTTGTGGTATAGGAGATTATGTCACATTAAGATGAGAAAACTTAGGAATTATCTCTTAGATTAAGTTAGAGGTATACCTAATCTATAATTCACTAATGATCATTTATATGATGTTTGTTAGCTAGGAAAATCGGTTTGGACCTCATTTTAATTGATTAAAAAAATTCTCATTTAGACCATTAGAAATCTTACACATGAATTTATTTTTCCCTAGTTAGTATAAAAAGTAGAGGTAAATCTTATTGTATTATAATTGTACATGAGTAAGATTCTTATCATATAAGAGTAACTCCTTCATTGAGTTTCAAATATTTGCTATATGGAATAAAAAAAAAAACTAATTGTCTACTATTTACAATCCACAATGATTATGGAGAAAAAACTAAGAATAGAAATTTAAAAGTATTTATAAGGGTTAGGAATAGGGCACAACTTCTTTACAACAAAACACCTCAATAGAATGGAGTGATAGAAAAAATGAATAGAATATTGATTGAAGCCTCTTATTATATACACAACAAACATAAACTTAAAAGAATAGAACATTGATAGAAGCCTCTCATTCTATGCTCAACAAATATAAACTGCTTGAGTATTTTTACATGGAATATCATTATTACATGTTATGTACTGAATAACATTTGTTCAAATCTAAATAAAAATTCATATGAAATGCTTATGGGTAGAACCTTGAAACACACACACACACACACACACACACACATATATATATATATATATATACACACACACACCCCCCAAAGTAAGTTTGACGCCACATCATTAGCGGTTATATTTTTGTCATATTCATTAGTAAAAAAGTCGTATAGGTGTTTAATTAAAAAACTATAATATATGAGGAATCTACATATATATAACTTTTAATGAATTTGATAACTTTAATCAGCTTGATATAGTACAACTATAAGATGATGAGTTATTCAACCTTGAAAAAGCTAGATATGCTTGAAAAGGGACCTAAAATAGAAACTAGAGAATGAAAGTATTCATTGAGTAACCCCCTGAAGAACAAAAAATGGTTAATACTTCTATCAATGTCAGAATTAGAAATGCACTTAGACAAGAAGTTAGCCACATAGCCTTTGTATCCCCTATTAAACCCACTAAAGTTGAAGATGCTTTTGTAGATAAATTTGGGTCATGATAATTAAAAACTAACTAATGGATTTATGAACCCTGGCTCTCTTGGTCAACTATGAGTTATTACTAAATCTATGCAAGTGCACATGTTGCATCAAGTAATAAAGTAATAAGTTAAGAATCATTCCCATGAGGATAGATGCAATCTCTAGTTCAGTCTAGTACTACTCATATGAATTGCTTATTTATCTTATTGATAAAATCAAAGGGCGTGTTAATGAATGTAATCAGCTAAATTCTCAAGAAGAAAATTTTGTGTCTTTGAACCTATGATAGTTTAGAACTTATGAATGCAAAAGATACAAATCCTATATTAATGTTTTGAATTAGAGCATAAATACTACTTATTTATGTCGACCTAGACGGAGTTTATAACCAAGATTTCACTTAACTACAGTTATTATATCTCCTTTATGATTCGAAGACTCTAGCCATCATATGTCCATGCATGGAAGAATTCCATTCCAAATCCCTTATTCGTTCCACTACTCCTCCATCATGGATAATGATCACACTAAATTTTAAGTTCATGTAAAGCTTATACATAAACTAAATGTAACATGAGGGATTTAAAAATAGCATATTATCACTACAAGAAAATCACTCCGTATCGGCGCCTTATTCCGACGATTATCATAAGCTTTCTGGCGGTTTTTTAAAATTCCGGCGGCTTTGCGGCGGTTTAAAATCTGCTGGTAAAAAACATTATTCTATTTATCTCATATATGATTTATAAAAAAAAAAGTTAATAAATTATACAAAAGTTATTCTAAACATATCATAAGCCTAGAGAATTGATTTAGCCAACCATGAAAATTAGAATAAATAAAACATTTTTTGTTTAAATGTTAAATAAAAGTACAAGAATAAAGGAAGTGATAGATATTACCAGGAAGTTCTTGCAATCATAATTACAAACTCTATTTTTCATTGAACTTGACTTATTTTACTTGCACTCACTCTCTCCCTCACTCTAAACTCCACTTAAACTTTATTCACATGAACAAATGGCCAGGCCCCATTAAAAATTTGGCCAAATTTTTAATTTTCATTACACATAATTAACTCAAGCACCATGATGCTGCTAGTGGTAGTGTTGTGGTGCTAATGAAATGAACTAATGCCATGACACTCATGAAGTCCACAACTTTGGTGCTCTGATTGAATCGATTTGTCACTTCCTTGTTATAATTGAATTAACTATTGTTCTATGGTGCTCAGGTGATTTGGTACTACGCTGCCTTATCAGTGCTACGATATTGATGCAAACTGGCATTACAGTGCCTTGCTCTTTATCTTTTAGTCTAATTTAAGGTTGAATGTTGCGACACTTTGAAGTTCGGTGTTACAATTCTAGGCAATTTTATTCAATGTTTTGTGGATTTTAGGTAACTTTCCTTACACAAAATAATCAATTGAGGTATTTTCAAAATAAAAGAGGATAATAACTACAAAATTTTTACTAAAAAATTCTCCCTAACTTAAACCATTACTTATCCTCAAGTAATCTTCAAGCACTTTCAAATAGGTGATCTAACTTTTGCTAAACTATAACTCTGAATTTTTTTTTAAATTAAGAAAATAATGAATTAATAATGTTAATTATAATATTTGAGGGTTAATGAATTTAATTAATAAAACCAATAAAAGGCATCCTAATAATTCATCTTAACTAATATTCCAAATAAATTAGCTCCTAAATGTGTAAGTAAAAATTTTTGTTTGACTTACTTAGAGTCATGATCTTAGATTTAACAAAAACATATTTATTTAATCTTCTAGTCCAATTACAAGCATCATTATGTATTACAATTCCTAAAATTCCCCTTAGCTTAACTTTCCCTTAGATTCCTCCGGTGGAGTTTAGATTTTCAGGTACCAATTTTTTATATTTCAATACTTAGCTT